AGAACTTGAACAACAAAGTCAGTGTTACGCATCGCTGGTGGCTTTTGTTGAGAAAAAGTGTTTTCAACAGGAATTTCAATAAGATTTGTCTAGTTATCACTTTCAGATCAAGCAGTGGCTCCTTGACTTCACTTCGCAACTCACTTTGACCAGTTACGACACACAGGTGAGCCGGCCGTTTCACATTTCCGTACTCAAAAAGCGATGTGATCATTTATGGACACAGTCACCTTACCGGGGAGGTCAACCAGGAATTAGAGCGCTTCTTGAAATTCCGCGTTTCGTAAGGCTGGGCTGGTCCGGAGGGCGTACGACCAAGGATTTGATCTCCGGGCCATTCGCGTGGTGAGCATCACCATCTTTCCGCTGCGTCGCCTTCATTGGGAATGTAATAGTAGAATTCCGTCGAGAAGGACTCGTGACATGATTAGGCCTGAGCGAAAGCGAAAATTCCTTTGAAAAGTACGTTTTTGTAACTTCAATGTATCATAAAGCTTCCAAAGCGCTCATTTCGTCAAGGCGGACGGACATTAAAAAGAGTAGGCCACTTGCAGATCTTGAAACTAAGTCTCAAGAAGGGAAAGGGATTTTGTCGGAGACTATTCCTGGCGCTTCTCCCCATCCTCAGCTTACTCCTGGTGTCACTTGCATCTTTGTAAATTCCTTGTTTTGAGTGTCCTCCCTAAGTGAGCACTCCTGTCATTTTGGAATCTCGACGCTGTTTTTATCTTCTACTTCTGCCACGAGATTGCTAGGCGAGGGAATTTATTATGGTTAACGTTTCGACCGTCCTGTCGTTGTTGAAATCTCAAACATTGCTGAGGACGTGAGAAACGCTAGAACTGTGAGCCATGTGCTATGTTCGTGCCATTCAAAACAACGGGACGGTCGAAAGGCTGGCCATAATAATTGTTCTAATTTCGTTATCTTAACTGCACTGTGCCGCAATCGCGCACAGCGATCGGTATCACACCACCCGATTTTCTTTCTTGAAACATTTCGCCGCTTCTATCGCCACGCTTTGGGAGACTCAAGGAACTAGAGATTCGGCAATCCGCTGAAGTGAATGTGCACGTTCCGATTCGAAGAATCACTTCAGCGCCGAATCGCTGAGTTCCCGATGCCATACGTCAGGTCAACTTAAAGGCACGGGTCACGAGTAGATGCTTCGAGAAATTCTCTCCTTGAGCGAGGTAGTAGTACACCTAGTCATAGGAGCAGTGGTACATCGCAACTTAGAATGCGCGACGAAAGAGCCCATGCCTTCGCTTCTACGCTGCGAAAGCTGACATGCTTGTCAATCGCGGCATACGTGGTGTTTGCGCCCTCTAGCGTACAACGTGCTCTCTCGCGTTTTCCCTTCCCTCTCTTCGCAGCGCTGCGTCTCTCCGCCATTCCACAGAAGCTCAGAAAAATTCAAGTACTTTCTGAAAGCTTTCACCTTCTTCTCCCCTTAACGTTCCCAGTTGTGCTCCCTGTCAGATGTTCGAACGGAATAAAACATCAATTCCATCATGATCCGTGGATTTGGTCAACGTGCACGTAATCCTTTCACACTTTTCTTTCGGTGGGGTTGCCAAAGGCCCCAATGCGCAGGTATAAATCTTCTCAGCTGACCATCGATCTCTCAGAAAGTAGCAATCCCCCTCCTTAGATGCAAGGCTAGGCGCTGGAAGTTCCCATCACGGGCATTGCACACTAAGCTCAAGCAGTTTGGGAGGTCCACCTTGACATGTCAGGCAGTGATGTAGCGATGTGCATACAACTACGATTACAGTCTTGCGATCTCATGCTAAACTTCTATATACTGCGGTGGCGCTCGGGACAATGGAACTATTTGATGACAACTTGAATATAATTTGTTGAAGGAGGATTCCACGATAAGGTCGAAGGAGAAAAATCTTACTTAGTGGAAGGACAGCCTGACCACCTAAGGGTACGGATCTACATGCAATTCGCAGCCAGGATAGGCCCTCACGAATTAGCATGGCTGTTCCCGCGGTGCTACCAACGCAGCACCCATGGACCGGCTGTCTACTTGCTGCAGATCTCTAGCTGTCAAGCAGAGACAGCGTTAGGCCAATGTGACCAACGGCGATTCGCTAGCGAATCGCGGGATAACGTGAGCTGCGCAGCGAATCAACCGAATGCCACTAGACAAGTGCAAAGTGCAGGAATCACAGGCGAAAGGAAGGAGTCCCATTTCTCGGGTTGTGGGCCGTTTTTTATAAGCGCTAGCGAATCGACCGTTGGCCACATTGGCCTAACGCTGTCTCTGCTTGACGGCTTTTTTCATCTCACCTCTCCCCTAATTCTAATAGGTCGCTTTCTTATCGTGAACCACCGGTTAAGCAGTATGGAGCATGCTAGTGTCTTCAGGAAACATTCCTTTTTAGGTCACTATTTACACATATGCGACTGATGCCAAATCCTATGGAAGCCTGTCATCGAGCAATAACCGAACGACGCTCATCAACTCGATCAACTCTATCACTCATGACAACACCAAAGATCGACAACTTTACAAGTACGCAGCATATTACTGTCAAAGCTATAATTCAATGTTTCTAAGGATTTCTGAATTCACTAATTTTGAGGGCTTTGACGAAAGAGGAGACCGAAGTGAAGGCATCGAGTGGTTTCCGTGACGGGATACAAACATGTGATGGTGGTGATCTCAGCTGATGCGTAAGTTGCCGGCGTTCGAATTGGCTTGTCGTTAGCTTGTAATGCTCCTTGTTTATTGCAGATGGTACGAGGGTACGGCTGTGGTTGGCAGTTCTCTACTACAACAGATTCAAAATAAATAATTCAATATGGTAACCAATTTGAGTTCACTAAATTGGAGTTCGGTTCTGCAAGCAACCTTATTTTGTTAAGGTCTTCGCAATTGGCCTCGGTTCCAAATCGGTGCAAAATCAAGCCTCCGCCCTCCAGCAACTTTCAGGTGCACCAAGGTAATATTTAGGGATACCCAATTTGACATCGTTGACCATGTGGCATGATCGTTATTTCCTTGCAGCAATGTGTTCTACTCGTTCAACAGCGATCAACTGCAATTCGTAACACAATGGCTCTACCAGAATGGATGCCCGTGAGTTTGAACCCACCTCTTCAGAAAGTCTGCGTCGCAACGACGGATCCCAATACCTTTGGGAGGTTCCTATCACAGCGACAATCCCAGTTTTTGATCAAAGCAGACATTCAGTAACATCGGTATGCCAACCACAACAGCATCACCCTCTCAGCCACTGCCAACTCAGGACATCTCTGTCCCGTGCCAGCTGGCGGCTCTGAATTACGACGTCTACTTGGTCGTCGACACCTCATCCGCTATAAGCGCTAGCGATTTCGCTCAGGTATTTAGTTGTGATCCATTTTGTGGCTGGACTAAAATGGTGCGATATTTTTAAAATTCCTTTTTTATGATTAGCGCTAGGGAACATGCAAGATTTCGCATCTCTATAACATCCACAATCTTTAGTAGCATGTAAATGTCAAAGAACGACGATTCAGAACAACCATAATTCGTTTTGTAGTCCCAGATTCCAATGTACATCGATCCTATACATTTCAAGCACCAGGCAGGCGCATGGTCCAGGCACCGAGTCTGGGTCGTACGGTTCGTTTCGGTCGGTTGATCAGTACCAGGATCAAAGTGGTGTGGTTCCTGCACACGAACACGAACGTATTGGTGCAAAATGGGTGCATCTGCATGCCCACATTGTAATATTCCTCTAGGATCTATCCAACAGCCAAAGAGAATCGGTCACACGACTTCTGCCTAAGTTGCGCCTTTGCCAAGGGGAAGTAATGTCATGGTAAGGCTCTGCTTATCACGCGCACGGTCCGGGCAAAAACCTACCATCGTACGCCGTTCAAGCGATCAAACCTTTCATCCTCTGAAATCGCTAGATTGGTATCAGGCTTGTCTGGCAGGGAAGAAACCAACTGGTACATCTGTTACCGCGTACCCGACAGGAGGCCCGTCGCGCGGCAAGAAGGCAGAGTCGCGGACGAGTTGCAGCGCGTGATGTGCGATGTAGGACGTACAATGGGACACTCTATTTAACTTGACGCGAAATCCTACAGTACGCGCTGCGACTCGTCCGCTGACTCTGCCTTCTTGCCGCGCGACGGGCCTCCTGTCGGGTACCCTCGTTACCCACGCAA